TCCCTGGGGTAACTTACAGGGCCAGAGGTGATAGAGGTTATCCCTGGGGTAACCTGCAGGGCCAGAGGTGATAGAGGTTATCCCTGGGGTAACCTACAGGGCCAGAGGTGATAGAGGTTATCCCTGGGGTAACCTACAGGGCCAGAGGTGATAGAGGTTATCCCTGGGGTAACCTACAGGGCCAGAGGTGATAGAGGTTATCCCTGGGGTAACCTACAGGGCCAGAGGTGATAGAGGTTATCCCTGGGGTAACCTACAGGGCCAGAGGTGATGGAGGTTATCCCTGGGGTAACCTGCAGGACCAGAGGTGATAGAGGTTATCCCTGGGGTAACCTACAGGGCCAGAGGTGATGGAGGTTATCCCTGGGGTAACCTACAGGGCCAGAGGTGATAGAGGTTATCCCTGGGGTAACCTACAGGGCCAGAGGTGATAGAGGTTATCCCTGGGGTAACCTACAGGGCCAGAGGTGATAGAGGTTATCCCTGGGGTAACCTACAGGGCCAGAGGTGAGAGGTTATCCCTGGGGTAACTTACAGGGCCAGAGGTGATAGAGGTTATCCCTGGGGTAACCTACAGGGCCAGAGGTGATAGAGGTTATCCCTGGGGTAACCTACAGGGCCAGAGGTGATAGAGGTTATCCCTGGGGTAACTTACAGGGCCAGAGGTGATAGAGGTTATCCCTGGGGTAACCTGCAGGGCCAGAGGTGATAGAGGTTATCCCTGGGGTAACCTACAGGGCCAGAGGTGATAGAGGTTATCCCTGGGGTAACCTACAGGGCCAGAGATGATAGAGGTTATCCCTGGGGTAACCTACAGGGCCAAAGGTGATAGAGGTTATCCCTGGGGTAACTTACAGGGCCAGAGGTGATAGAGGTTATCCCTGGGGTAACCTACAGGGCCAGAGGTGATAGAGGTTATCCCTGGGGTAACCTACAGGGCCAGAGGTGATAGAGGTTATCCCTGGGGTAACCTGCCGGGCCAGAGGTGATGGAGGTTATCCCTGGGGTAACCTACAGGGCCAGAGGTGATAGAGGTTATCCCTGGGGTAACCTACAGGGCCAGAGGTGATAGAGGTTATCCCTGGGGTAACTTACAGGGCCAGAGGTGATAGAGGTTATCCCTGGGGTAACCTACAGGGCCAGAGGTGATAGAGGTTATCCCTGGGGTAACCTACAGGGCCAGAGGTGATAGAGGTTATCCCTGGGGTAACCTACAGGGCCAGAGGTGATAGAGGTTATCCCTGGGTTAACTTACAGGGCCAGAGGTGATAGAGGTTATCCCTGGGGTAACCTACAGGGCCAGAGGTGATGGAGGTTATCGCTGGGGTAACCTACAGGGCCAGAGGTGATAGAGGTTATCCCTGGGGTAACCTACAGGGCCAGAGGTGATAGAGGTTATCCCTGGGGTAACCTACAGGGCCAGAGGTGATAGAGGTTATCCCTGGGGTAACCTACAGGGCCAGAGGTGATAGAGGTTATCCCTGGGGTAACCTACAGGGCCAGAGGTGATAGAGGTTATCCCTGGGGTAACCTACAGGGCCAGAGGTGATGGAGGTTATCCCTGGGGTAACCTACAGGGCCAGAGGTGATGGAGGTTATCCCTGGGGTAACCTACAGGGCCAGAGGTGATGGAGGTTATCCCTGGGGTAACCTAGAGGGCCAGAGGTGATAGAGGTTATCCCTGGGGTAACCTACAGGGCCAGAGGTGATAGAGGTTATCCCTGGGGTAACCTGCCGGGCCAGAGGTGATGGAGGTTATCCCTGGGGTAACCTACAGGGCCAGAGGTGATAGAGGTTATCCCTGGGGTAACCTACAGGGCCAGAGGTGATGGAGGTTATCACTGGGGTAACCTACAGGGCCAGAGGTGATAGAGGTTATCCCTGGGGTAACCTACAGGGCCAGAGGTGATAGAGGTTATCCCTGGGGTAACCTACAGGGCCAGAGGTGATGGAGGTTATCCCTGGGGTAACCTACAGGGCCAGAGGTGATGGAGGTTATCCCTGGGGTAACCTACAGGGCCAGAGGTGATGGAGGTTATCCCTGGGGTAACCTACAGGGCCAGAGGTGATAGAGGTTATCCCTGGGGTAACCTACAGGGCCAGAGGTGAGAGAGGTTATCCCTGGGGTAACCTACAGGGCCAGAGGTGATAGAGGTTATCCCTGGGGTAACCTACAGGGCCAGAGGTGATAGAGGTTATCCCTGGGGTAACCTACAGGGCCAGAGGTGATGGAGGTTATCCCTGGGGTAACTTACAGGGCCAGAGGTGATAGAGGTTATCCCTGGGGTAACCAACAGGGCCAGAGGTGATAGAGGTTATCCCTGGGGTAACCTACAGGGCCAGTGGTGATAGAGGTTATCCCTGGGGTAACCTACAGGGCCAGAGGTGAGAGGTTATCCCTGGGGTAACCTACAGGGCCAGACGTGATGGAGGTTATCCCTGGGGTAACCTACAGGGCCAGAGGTGATGGAGGTTATCCCTGGGGTAACCTACAGGGCCAGAGGTGATAGAGGTTATCCCTGGGGTAACCTACAGGGCCAGAGGTGATAGAGGTTATTCCTGGGGTAACCTACAGGCCCAGAGGTGATGGAGGTTATCCCTGGGGTAACCTACAGGGCCAGAGGTGATGGAGGTTATCCCTGGGGTAACCTACAGGGCCAGAGGTGATAGAGGTTATCCCTGGGGTAACCTGCAGGCCCAGAGGTGATAGAGGTTATCCCTGGGGTAACCTACAGGGCCAGAGGTGAGAGGTTATCCCTGGGGTAACCTACAGGGCCAGAGGTGAGAGGTTATCCCTGGGGTAACCTACAGGGCCAGAGGTGATAGAGGTTATCCCTGGGGTAACCTACAGGGCCAGAGGTGATAGAGGTTATCCCTGGGGTAACCTACAGGGCCAGAGGTGATGGAGGTTATCCCTGGGGTAACCTACAGGGCCAGAGGTGATGGAGGTTATCCCTGGGGTAACCTGCAGGGCCAGAGGTGATAGAGGTTATCCCTGGGGTAACCTACAGGGCCAGAGTTGATAGAGGTTATCCCTGGGGTAACCTACAGGGCCAGAGGTGATAGAGGTTATTCCTGGGGTAACCTACAGGGCCAGAGGTGATAGAGGTTATCCCTGGGGTAACCTACAGGGCCAGAGGTGATAGAGGTTATCCCTGGGGTAACCTTCAGGGCCAGAGGTGATAGAGGTTATCCCTGGGGTAACCTACAGGGCCAGAGATGATAGAGGTTATCCCTGGGGTAACCTACAGGGCCAGAGGTGATAGAGGTTATTCCTGGGGTAACCTACAGGGCCAGAGGTGATAGAGGTTATCCCTGGGGTAACCTACAGGGCCAGAGGTGATAGAGGTTATCCCTGGGGTAACATCTCTAGATTACTCCACAGGGAGACAGTGAGTGGGTGAGTGAGTGAGTGGGTGAGTGAGTGGGTGAGTGAGTGGGCGAGTGGGTGGGTGAGTGAGTGTATGAGTGGGTGGGTGAGTGGGTGGGTGAGTGGGTGGGTGAGTGAGTGAGTGGGTGGGTGAGTGGGTGGGTGAGTGGGTGAGTGAGTGGGTGAGTGAGTGGGTGGGTGAGTGGGTGGGTGAGTGGGTGGGTGGGTGAGTGAGTGGGTGGGTGAGTGAGTGAGTGGGTGAGTGAGTGGGTGAGTGAGTGGGTGAGTGGGTGAGTGAGTGGGTGAGTGAGTGGGTGAGTGGGTGAGTGGGTGGGTGAGTGAGTAGGTGGGTGGGTGAGTGGGTGAGTGAGTGAGTGAGTGGGTGAGTGAGTAGGTGGGTGGGTGAGTGAGTGAGTGGGTGAGTGGGTGAGTGGGTGAGTGAGTGAGTGTATGAGTGAGTGGGTGAGTGAGTGAGTGGGTGAGTGAGTGGGTGGGTGAGTGTATGAGTGAGTGTGTGAGTGGGTGAGTGAGTGAGTGAGTGTGAGTGAGTGAGTGTGTGAGTGTATGAGTGAGTGTGTGAGTGAGTGAGTGGGTGAGTGAGTGGGTGAGTGGGTGAGTGAGTGAGTGGGTGAGTGAGTGAGTGTATGAGTGAGTGAGTGTATGAGTGAGTGAGTGAGTGTGTGAGTGTATGAGTGAGTGTATGAGTGTGTGAGTGTATGAGTGAGTGTATGAGTGTATGAGTGAGTGTATGAGTGTGTGAGTGTATGAGTGAGTGTATGAGTGTATGAGTGAGTGTATGAGTGTGTGAGTGTGTGAGTGGGTGAGTGAGTGAGTGTATGAGTGTATGAGTGAGTGAGTGTATGAGTGAGTGTGTGAGTGAGTGTATGAGTGAGTGTGTGAGTGAGTGTGTGAGTGAGTGTGTGAGTGAGTGTATGAGTGAGTGTATGAGTGAGTGAGTGTGTGAGTGAGTGTATGAGTGAGTGTATGAGTGAGTGTATGAGTGAGTGTATGAGTGAGTGTATGAGTGTGTGAGTGTGTGAGTGAGTGAGTGTATGAGTGAGTGTGTGTATGAGTGTGTGTATGAGTGAGTGAGTGGGTGAGTGAGTGTATGAGTGAGTGAGTGTGTGAGTGAGTGTATGAGTGAGTGTGAGTGAGTGTATGAGTGAGTGAGTGTATGAGTGAGTGAGTGAGTTTATGAGTGAGTGAGTGAGTTTATGAGTGAGTGTATGAGTGAGTGAGTGTATGAGTGAGTGAGTGTATGAGTGAGTGAGTGTATGAGTGTGTGTATGAGTGAGTGGGTGAGTGAGTGAGTGTGTGAGTGAGTGTGTGAGTGAGTGAGTGTATGAGTGAGTGAGTGTATGAGTGAGTGAGTGTATGAGTGAGTGTATGAGTGAATGAGTGAGTGTATGAGTGAGTGTATGAGTGAGTGTATGAGTGAGTGAGTGAGTGTGTGTATGAGTGAGTGAGTGAGTGTGTGAGTGTATGAGTGAGTGTATGAGTGAGTGGGTGAGTGAGTGAGTGTATGAGTGAGTGAGTGGGTGAGTGTGTGTCTGTGTGTGTGTGTCTGTGTGTGTGAGTGTATGAGTGACTGTGTGTCTGTGTGTGTCTGTGTGTCTGTGTGTCCACACAGATCCTGCAGAAGTGCTTCGACTCCAAGGACATTCAGCTGCTTCAGGAGACTATCACCACCCTGGACCCCACGGTGAGCTCCGGCTGCCCTTCCAGCTGCCCTTCTGATCAATTGACCCTCTGATCAATTGACCCTCTGATCAATTGACCCTCTGATCAACTGCCCATCTGGTGCGTGAGTGGGTGGCCGAGTGAGTGGGTGAGTGAGTAACTGACTCGCTGAGTGACTGAGTGAGTGACTGACTGACTCACTGACTCACTCACTGACTCACTCACTGACTCACTCACTGACTCACTCACTGACTGGGTGACTGACTCACTGACTGACTCACTGACTCACTGACTGATTCACTGACTGACTCACTGACTGACTGACTCACTGACTCACTGATTGACTGGGTGACTGACTCACTGAGTGACTGACTCACTGACTCACTGACTGACTGACTCACTGACTGACTCACTGACTGACTGACTAACTAACTGACTGACTGAGTGACTCTCTGTGCTTACAGGAGGCAAAGTACCACATGCAGCGGTGGGTCGAGTGAATGAGTGACTGACTGAGTGACTGACTCACTGACTCACTGAGTGACTCACTGACTCACTGACTGACTCACTGACTGACTGACTGACTCACTGAGTGACTGACTCCCTCTCTGCTTACAGGAGGCAAAGTACCACATGCAGCGGTGCGTTGAGTGAGTGACTGAGTAACTGACTCACTGACTGACTGACTCACTGAGTGACTGACTGAGTCACTGACTGACTGAGTCACTGACTGACTGAGTCACTGACTCACTGACTGACTGACTAACTCTCTGTGCTTACAGGAGGCAAAGTACCACATGCAGCGGTGGGTCGAGTGACTGAGTGACTGAGTGAATGACTGACTGAGTGACTGAGTGAGTGACTTGCTGGCTGAGTGACTGAGTGACTGACTGAGTGACTGACTGACTGAGTGACTGACTGAGTGACTGACTCACTCACTCACTGACTGACTGACTCACTGACTGACTGACTGACTAACTGCCTGACTCACTGACTGACTCACTGACTGACTGACTGTCTGTGCTTACAGGAGGCAAAGTATCACATGCAGCGGTGCGTTGAGTGAGTGAATGAATGACTGACTGAGTAACTAACTGAGTGACTCACTGAGTGACTCACTGACTGACTGACTCACTGAGTGACTGACTGAGTGACTGACTGACTCACTGACTCACTCACTGACTGACTGACTCACTGACTGACTGACTGAGTGACTGACTCACTCTCTGTGCTTACAGGAGGCAAAGTACCACATGCAGCGGTTTGTTGAGTGACTGACTGAGTGACTCACTGACTGACTGAGTGACTCACTGAGTGACTGACTGACTCACTGAGTGACTCACTGACTCACTCTGCTTACAGGAGGCAAAGTACCACATGCAGCGGTGCGTTGAGTGAGTGACTGACTGAGTGAGTGACTCGCTCACTGACTGACTGACTCACTGACTGACTCACTGACTGACTCACTGACTGAGTCACTGACTGACTGAGTGACTCACTGAGTGACTCACTGACTCACTCTGCTTACAGGAGGCAAAGTACCACATGCAGCGGTGCGTTGAGTGAGTGACTGACTGAGTGAGTGACTCACTCACTGACTGACTGACTCACTGACTGACTCACTGACTGACTCACTGACTGACTCACTGACTGACTGAGTGACTCACTGAGTGACTGACTAACTCTCTGTGCTTACAGGAGGCAAAGTACCACATGCAGCGGTGCGTTGAGTGAGTGACTCACTGAGTGACTGACTGAGTGACTCACTGACTGACTAACTGACTGACTCACTGACTGACTCAGTCACTCACTCACTGACTCACTGAGTGACTGACTGAGTGACTGACTGAGTGACTGACTCTCTGTGCTTACAGGAGGCAAAGTACCACATGCAGTGGTGGGTCGATTGAGTGAGTGAGTGAGTGACTCACTGAGTGACTGACTGACTGACTCACTGACTGACTCACTGACTGACTGACTCACTGAGTGACTCACTGACTGACTGACTGACTAACTCACTGTGCTTACAGGAGGCAAAGTACCACATGCAGCGGTGCGGTGAGTGAGTGACTGACTGAGTGAGTGACTCACTCACTGAGTGACTCACTGACTGACTGACTGAGTGACTGACTCACTCTCTGACTGACTCACTCTCTGTGCTTACAGGAGGCAAAGTACCACATGCAGCGGTGCGTTGAGTGACTCACTGACTCACTGACTGACTGACTGAGTGACTCACTGAGTGACTGACTGACTCACTGACTCACTAACTCTCTGCTTACAGGAGGCAAAGTACCACATGCAGCGGTGCGTTGAGTGAGTGACTGACTCACTGACTGACTGACTCACTGACTGACTCACTCACTGACTCACTGACTCACTGTGCTTACAGGAGGCAAAGTATCACATGCAGCGGTGAGTGAGTGAGTGACTGAGTGACTGACTGAGTGACTCACTGACTGACTAACTAACTAACTCACTGACTGACTCACTGACTGACTGACTGACTCACTCACTGACTGACTGACTGACTCACTGACTGACTCACTGAGTGACTCACTGAATGACTCACTGACTGTGCTTACAGGAGGCAAAGTACCACATGCAGCGGTGCGTTGAGTGAGTGACTCACTGACTCACTCACTGACTGACTCACTGACTGACTCACTGACTAACTAACTCACTGTCTCTGCTTACAGGAGGCAAAGTACCACATGCAGCGGTGAGTGAGTGAGTGACTGAGTGACTGACTGACTGACTCACTGACTGACTCACTCTCTGACTGACTCACTCCCTCTGCTTACAGGAGGCAAAGTACCACATGCAGCGGTGAGTGACTGAGTGACTCACTGACTGACTCACTGACTGACTGTCTGACTGAGTGACTGACTCACTGACTGACTCACTGACTCACTGACTGACTCACTAACTAACTCTCTCTGCTTACAGGAGGCAAAGTATCACATGCAGCGGTGCGTCGATTCCGGTTTGTGGGTCCCGAATCGTGACGAGCCTCCAGCAGCAGAGGAGGAGGAGGAGGCGGTGGAGGCTGAGGCTCCTTCAGTGGCGGGGGTGGGGGAATGAATCGGTGAAGGATTCATCGGTGGTGGGGGAATGAATCAGTGAAGGAGTTGAAAAGGATGGGGGTTTTTGGGGCATCTGATAGGGTTATAGGGGATCTAAGGGCGGGGTTATAGGGGATCTGATGGGGTTATAGGGGATCTGATGGGGTTATAGGGGATCTGATGGGGTTATAGGGGATCTGATGGGGTTATAGGGGATCTGATGGGGTTGTAAGGCATCTGATGGGGTTGTAAGGCATCTGATAGGGTTTTAGGGCATCTGATGGGGTTATAGGGGATCTGATGGGGTTATAGGGGATCTGATGGGGTTATAGGGGATCTGATGGGGTTATAGGGGATCTGATGGGGTTATAGGGCATCTGATGGGGTTATAGGGGATCTGATGAGGTTATAGGGGATCTGATGGGGTTATAGGGCATCTGATGGGGTTATAGGGGATCTGATGGGGTTATAGGGGATCTGATGGGGTTATAGGGGATCTGATGGGGTTTTAGGGGATCTGATGGGGTTTTAGGGCATCTGATGGGGTTATAGGGGATCTGATGGGGTTATAGGGGATCTGATGGGGTTATAGGGGATCTGATGGGGTTGTAGGGCATCTGATAGGGTTATAGGGGATCTTATGGGGTTATAGGGGATCTGATGGGGTTATAGGGCATCTGATGGGGTTATAGGGGATCTGAGGGTGGGGTTATAGGGGATCTGAGGGTGGGGTTATAGGGGATCTGATGGGGTTATAGGGGATCTGATGGGGTTATAGGGGATCTTATGGGGTTATAGGGGATCATAGGGGATCTGATGGGGTTGTAGGGCATCTGATAGGGTTATAGGGGATCTGATGGGGTTTTAGGGCATCTGATAGGGTTATAGGGGATCTGATGGGGTTATAGGGGATCTGATGGGGTTATAGGGGATCTGATGGGGTTATAGGGGATCTGATGGGGTTATAGGGGATCTGATGGGGTTACAGGGGATCTGATGGGGTTATAGGGCATTTGATGGGGTTATAGGGGATCTGAGGGTGGAGTTATAGGGGATCTAAGGGCGGGGTTATAGGGGATCTGATGGGGTTATAGGGGATCTGATGGGGTTATAGGGGATCTGAGGGTGGGGTTATAGGGGATCTGGTTGGGTTATAGGGGATCTGATGGGGTTATAGGGGATCTGATGGGGTTATAGGGCATCTGATGGGGTTATAGGGGATCTGATGGGGTTATAGGGGATCTGATGGGGTTATAGGGGATCTGATGGGGTTATAGGGGATCTGATGGGGTTATAGGGGATCTGATGGGGTTATAGGGGATCTGATGGGGTTATAGGGGATCTGGTGGGGTTATAGGGGATCTGAGGGTGAGGTTATAGGGGATCTGATGGGGTTTTAGGGGTAGCTATGGGGGCACACCACACCCAACACTGTACACACAGTATCACACTGTACACAGTATCACACTGTACACACAGTATCACACTGTACACAACTGTACACGCACAATGCCACACTGTACACACACTGTACACCGAACTGTACCCTACACCAAAAACATGTAATATATTTCTCTGTGTGTCTGTGGGTCTGTGTGTGTGTGTCTGTGTGTGTGTGTGTCTCTGAGTCTATCTGAGTCTGTGTGTGAGTCTCTGTGAGTGTCTGTGGGTCTCTGTGTGTGTGTGTGTCTCTGAGTCTATCTGAGTCTGTGTGTGAGTCTCTGTGAGTGTCTGTGGGTCTCTGTGAGTGTCTGTGGGTCTCTGTGTGTGTGTGTGTGTCTCTGAGTCTATCTGAGTCTGTGTGTGAGTCTCTTGTGAGTGTCTGTGGGTCTCTGTGAGTGTCTGTGGGTCTCTGTGTGTGTCTCTGTGTGTCTCTGTGTGAGTGTCTCTGTGTGTCTGTGTGAGTCTGTGTGTCTGTGTGAGTCTGTGTGTGTGTGTGTCTGTGTGTGTGTGTCTGTGTGTGTGTGTGTGTCTGTGTGTCTCTGTGTGTGTCTGTGTGTGTGTCTCTGTGTGTCTGTGTGGGTCTCTGTGTGTCTCTGTGGGTCTCTGCGAGTCTCTGTGTGAATCTCTGTGTGAGTCTCTGTGTGAGTCTCTGTATGTCTCTGTGGGTCTCTGTGAGTCTCTGTGAGTCTCTGTGGGTCTCTGCGAGTCTCTGTGGGTCTCTGTGAGTCTCTGTGGGTCTCTGTGGGACTCTGAGTCTCTGTGAGTCTCTGTGGGTCTCTGTGAGTCTCTGTGAGTCTCTGTGGGTCTCTGTGAGTCTCTGTGAGTCTCTGTGGGACTCTGAGTCTCTGTGAGTCTCTGTGGGTCTCTGTGAGTCTCTGTGGGACTCTGAGTCTCTGTGAGTCTCTGTGGGTCTCTGTGTGTCTCTGTGGGTCTCTGAGTGTCTGTGTGTGTGAGTCTCTGTGTGTGTCTGTGTGTGTCTGTGTGTGTCTGTGTGTGTCTCTGTGTGGGTCTCTGTGTGTCTCTGCGGGTCTCTGCGAGTCTCTGTGTGAGTCTCTGAGTGTCTGTGGGTCTCTGTGAGTCTCTGTATGTCTCTGTGGGTCTCTGTGAGTCTCTGTGAGTCTCTGTGAGTCTCTGTGAGTCTCTGTGAGTCTCTGTGAGTCTCTGTGTGTCTCTGTGAGTCTCTGTGGGTCTCTGTGTGTCTCTGTGAGTCTCTGTATGTCTCTGTGAGTCTCTGTGGGTCTCTGTGAGTCTCTGTATGTCTCTGTGGGTCTCTGTGAGTCTCTGTGAGTCTCTGTGAGTCTCTGTGGGTCTCTGTGAGTCTCTGTGAGTCTCTGTGAGTCTCTGCGGGTCTCTGTGAGTCTCTGTGGGTCTCTGTGTGTCTCTGTGAGTCTCTGTATGTCTCTGTGAGTCTCTGTGGGTCTCTGTGAGTCTCTGTGAGTCTCTGTGTGTCTCTGTGTGTCTCTGTGAGTCTCTGTGAGTCTCTGTGAGTCTCTGTGAGTCTCTGCGGGTCTCTGTGAGTCTCTGTGGGTCTCTGTGGGACTGAGATTCTGTGAGTCTCTGTGGGTCTCTGTGAGTCTCTGTGAGTCTCTGTGGGTCTCTGTGAGTCTCTGTGGGTCTCTGTGAGTCTCTGTGAGTCTCTGTGGGTCTCTGTGAGTCTCTGTGGGTCTCTGTGAGTCTCTGTGGGTCTCTGTGAGTCTCTGTGGGTCTCTGAGTGTCTGTGTGTGTGAGTCTCTGTGTGTGTCTGTGTGTGTCTCTGTGAGTCTCTGTGGGTCTCTGTGGGACTCTGAGTCTCTGTGAGTCTCTGTGGGTCTCTGTGAGTCTCTGTGGGTCTCTGTGGGACTCTGAGTCTCTGTGAGTCTCTGTGGGTCTCTGTGAGTCTCTGTGAGTCGCTGTGGGTCTCTGTGGGACTCTGAGTCTCTGTGAGTCTCTGTGGGTCTCTGTGAGTCTCTGTGAGTCTTTGTGAGTCGCTGTGGGTCTCTGTGGGTCTCTGTGTGTCTCTGTGTGTCTCTGTGAGTCTCTGTGTGTCTCTGTGGGTCTCTGTGTGTCTGTGTGTCTCTGTGTGTCTCTGTGTGTCTCTGTGGGTCTCTGTGAGTCTCTGTGAGTCTCTGTGAGTTGCTGTGGGTCTCTGTGGGTCTCTGTGTGTCTCTGTGGGTCTCTGTGAGTCTCTGTGTGTCTCTGTGGGTCTCTGTGGGTCTCTGTGAGTCTCTGTGGGTCTCTGTGAGTCTCTGTGGGTCTCTGTGGGACTCTGAGTCTCTGTGAGTCTCTGTGGGTCTCTGTGTGTCTGTGTGTCTCTGTGTGTCTCTGTGTGTCTCTGTGTGTCTCTGTGGGTCTCTGTGAGTCTCTGTGGGTCTCTGTGAGTCTCTGTGGGTCTCTGGGTCTCTGTGTGTCTCTGTGTGTCTCTGGGTCTGTGTGTCTCTGTGAGTCTCTGTGTGTGTTGAACGTCTTTCACTGTACGTAGCCAGCCGTGATAATATAACAGGCTCACCAACACACAGAGACCCATAGACTCACCACCACACAGAGACCCATAGACTCACCAACACACAGAGACCCATAGACTCACCACCACACAGAGACCCATAGACTCACCACTACACAGAGACCCATAGACTCACCATCACACAGAGACCCATAGACTCACCACCACCACATAGAGACCTGTAGACTCACCACCACACAGAGACCCGTAGACTCACCACCACACAGAGACCCATAGACTCACCACCACACAGAGACCCATAGACTCACCACCACACAGAGACCCATAGACTCACCACCACACAGAGACCTATAGACTCACCACCACACAGAAACTCATAGACTCACCACCACACAGAGACCCATAGACTCACCACCACACAAGAGACCCATAGACTCACCACCACACAGAGACCCATAGACTCACCACCACACAGAGACCCATAGACTCACCACACACACAGAGACCCATAGACTCACCACCACACAGAGACCCATAGACTCACCATCACACAGAGACCCATAGACTCACCACCACACAGAGACCCATAGACTCACCACCACACAGAGACCCATAGACTCACCACCACACAGAGACCCATAGACTTACCACCACACAGAGACCCATAGACTCACCACCACACAGAGACCCATAGACTCACCATCACACAGAGACCCATAGACTCACCATCACACAGAGACCCATAGACTCACCACCACACAGAGACCCATAGCCTCACTACCACACAGAGACACATAGACTCACCACCACACAGAGACCCATAGACTCACCACCACACAGAGACCCATAGACTCACCACCACACAGAGACCCATAGACTCACCACCACACAGAGACCCATAGACTCACCACCACACAGAGACGCATAGACTCACCACACACACAGAGACCCATAGACTCACCCCCACACAGAGACCCATAGACTCACCATCACACAGAGACCCGTAGACTCACCACCACCACAGAGACCTGTAGACTCACCACCACACAGAGACCCATAGACTCACCACCACCACATAGAGACCCATAGAAGCTGATTGGTCAATGGTGGAAGCTGATGGTCGATGGTGGAAGCTGATTGGTCGATGGTGGAAGCTGATGGTAGATGGTGGAAGCTGATTGGTCGATGGTGGAAGCTGATTGGTCGATGGTGGAAGCTGATTTGGCGATGGTGGAAGCTGATTGGTCGATGGTGGATAACTCAATAAACATGACAACATCAACAATCTCTGTCTCTCTTGATGGAGGTGGTGATGGTGGTGGTGATGGTGGTGGTGATGGTGGTGGTGGTGATGGTGGTGGTGATGGTGGTGACGGTGGTGGTGATGGTGGTGGTGATGGTGATGTTGGTGGTGGTGGTGATGGTGGTGGTGATGGTGGTGACTCACCACCACCACACAGAGACCCATAGACTCACCACCACACAGAGACCCATAGACTCACCACCACACAGAGACCCATAGACTCACCACCACACATAGACACATAAACTCACCACTACACAGAGACCCGTAGACTCACCACCACACAGAGACCCATAGACTCACCACCACACAGAGACCCATAGACTCACCACCACACAGAGACCCATAGACTCACCACCACACAGAGACCCATAGACTCACCACCACACAGAGACCCATAGACTCACCACCACACAGAGACCCATAGAAGCTGATTGATCGATGGTGGAAGCTGATTTGGCGATGGTGGATGACTCAATAAACATGGCAACATCAACAAACTCTGTCTCTCTTGATGTTGGTGGTGATGGTGGTGATGGTGATAGTGGTGGTGGTGGTGATGATGGTGGTGGTGATGGTGGTGGTGATGGTGGTGATGGTGGTGGTGATGATGATGATGGTGGTGGTGATGGTGGTCATGGTGATGATGGTGGTGACGGTGATGGTGGTGGTGGTGATGATGATGGTGGTGGTGATGGTGATGGTGGTGATGATGGTGGTGATGGAGGTGGTGATGGAGGTGGTGATGATGGTGGTGGTGGTGATGGTGGTGATGGTGGTGGTGGTGATGGTGGTGGTCGTGATGATGGTGGTGATGGTCGTGGTGATGGTAGTGGTGGTGATGGTAGTGGTGGTGGTGATGGTGGTGGTGATGGTGATGATGATGGTGGTGGTGATGGTGGTGATGGTGGTGGTGATGGTGATGATGATGGTGGTGGTGATGGTGGTGATGGTGGTGGTGATCGTAGTGGTGGTGATGATGGTGGTGGTGGTTGTGATGGTGGTGATGGTGGTGATGGTGGTGGTGATGGTGGTGATGGTGGTGATGGTGGTGGTGATAGTGATGATAGTGGTGATGGTGGTTGTGATGATGATGGTGGTGGTGATGGTGTTGGTGGTGATGGTGGTGGTGATGATGAGACCCATAGACTCACCACTACACAAAGACCCATAGACTCACCACCACCACACAGAGACCCATAGACTCACCACCACCACACAGAGACCCATAGACTCACCACCACACAGAGACCCATAGACTCACCACCACCACACAGAGACCCATAGACTCACCACCATCACACAGAGACCCATAGACTCACCACCACACAGAGACCCATAGACTCACCACCACACAGAGACCCATAGACTCACCACTACACAGAGACCCATAGACTCACCACCACACAGAGACCCATAAACTCACCACCACACAGAGACCCATAGACTCACCACCACACAGAGACCCATAGACTCACCACCACACAGAGACCCATAGACTCACCACCACACAGAGACCCATAGACTCACTACCACAGAGAGACTCACATCCACATAGAGACCCATAGACTCACCACCACCACACAGAGACCCATAGACTCACCACCACATAGAGGCCCATAGACTCACCACTACACAGAGACCCATAGACTCACCACCACACAGAGACCCATAGACTCACCACCACACAGAGACCCATAGACTCACCACCACACAGAGACCCATAGACTCACCACCATCACACAGAGACCCATAGACTCACCACCACACAGAGACCCATAGACTCACCACCACCACACAGAGACCCATAGACTCACCACCACACAGAGACCCATAGACTCACCACCATCACACAGAGACCCATAGACTCACCACCATCACACAGAGACCCATAGACTCACCACACAGAGACCCATAGACACCACCACACAGAGACCCATAGACTCTGCACTCATTCATTAAGAATCTACTAATCGATTCCAAATTCCCTAATCTTTCAATCAGTTCAAATACGACGCAAGTTTTGAATAATCGATTAAATGCCCTCCGATCACTACGGGCAAATCGATTCCTTGTAATCGATTCCATCAACGGAAATTAATCGATTAGTTCCCACGTCTATTTAACCCGCCCGCCCCTTCCCAGAGACGCCCCGCCCCCTCCACGCCCCGCCCTCCACGCCCCGCCCCTCCACGCCCCGCCCCTTCACGCCCGCCCCCTCCACGCCCCTACACGCCCCGCCCCCCTCCACGCCCCGCCCCCCCTCCACGCGTCGACGTCACAACCACTCTTGGCCCCCGCGCCCAGGTCACGCCTCTCAACCACCCTTACCAAGATGGCGGCCACGGCGATGGAGACGCTCGCCGCCTCGGGCCCAGCCGAAGCCCTCGGGCCCCCCGTCTTGCCTGAGCCGCCTCGCCCGCCACCCGACTCGGCGGGCCCGCGGCCCGACGAGGCCGCACCGGCCCTGTCGCGCGAGGAGGTCGCTTCGAGGCTCGCCACCACCGCGAGAGAGTTGAGGAACAGGCGGAAGCTCGTCGTTCGACACCTGCCGCCCGACTACACGACGCAGGTTCAAGTTTTGTTCGTATTTCAGTAACAAATCAACAAGTAAACAAAGTCTTGTTGACTTTCTGCGGCTGGCCACGTTTTCCCTCACCCGTCCGTATTGGCGGGGTTTTTCTTCCTCGTTTTAGCTAAACTGCGCGCGCGCGATATTTGTGATTTTTATCTCTCTCGTTTCAAGTTATCGATTCGTTCGGTTCGCGAAGGCGTCAAGAGTTTCGCTTACTCTACTGAGTGGTATTTTTTAAAAAAAATTAGCGGTTTTGGGATTTTTTTTTTCTTACCTAGCGAGAGGTTGATCGTGGTGGTTG